TTTACTGCAATTTCATAAAATTGAAAATATTTCAAAAACGGTAAGGTTTAAGTGTGATAAGCCTTAATCAAATTTACCTTTATTTCAATCGTGGAATCTAAAAATAGAATAATATATAGGGTTTTCCATTTAAAAAAATACAGGTATAATATTTTTTACTTATTTAGGACACTCTGTATCTTGTAAATTTTTTAAAAATTGTGGCTCTAATAGTCCTTCAACGAACCCAAAACGTGTCGTATGTGCTGAACAAATATAATAAATTCCACGGATTGAGGGTTGTGTGCAGTCTAGATTAATATAAAGTTAATAGAGTCTAAAATCTACAAAGTATATTACTATATTGTTAAAATATGATCATATAGATGGACAAGGTACCATACGATCGAAAAAAAAACGTCGTCAAACGGTTAGAAATAGATGGAGAATATCTTAGCCCTCTTAAAACCCTTGTTAAACATGGCTAATCCTTTACTTCCGGTTGCAAAATATCCAACAAACTATCCATACAAACGGACGTCTAAATAATGCCATAAAGAAGCCCCCTTCCCCCTCAGGCAGCAGAATCTTACGTTATATTTGCGCTTATTGAAAGCTAATAAATCGAGATAAGAACAAAGCAAGGTTAAACTAACTAATGCACAATCGGGCAATCTAATGGGCATCTAACGTCGTAAATCGCCAGGTACTGCCTCGGCTGCTGTTTAGACGGTTGCGTGTACCTCAAATTGTTCCGCGGGATTTATGCTAAAGGTCGCGTTTGTTCCATTGATTGTTCAATAGCGAGAAGCTTCTAAATTGAGACGGTATATGGGTCTTAAAATTCTTGTACTCGTACCATTTCTCATTTAATTTCACAATAATTAAATTAACAAGTCTAGAGAAAATTGGGTTGGTACCAGAGATACAGAGGTAGGGGAAATTAAGCGCTTAGGTCTACAGGGGGAGATCAATAAGTAATAACAGTATTTACAGTATTTCTTGTTTTCTCGTCTTGAGAAAAAGATCATTATTCATTTGTAGTATACTTGTATTCATTTAAAACTTCCCAATATGGCGGACTTCAGTATGGGAGGCTTAAAAAACGAAAATCTCTAAACTGGAATCGACTGTACTTCAAATCGTTCAAATTGATAATCTGTGGTAAATCCAATTGAACTCTGACACTTGGCTGACATTGACGTTTACGGTTCCTTTTTCTAAATATTTTCATTATTTTTTGAGTTTATATTCACAAATTCTACTTGATTTTGTTCTTTTATTTAACCTGCAACCTGCAGTACTAATTATATAGTTATAAATAATCTTTTCACCGATCAAGAATTGACGAATAGGCTGGAAGATATTCAAAATGTGTAAAACGCTGAAAAACGTATTAGAAAACATTGACTCGTTCACAAATTCGTGAAAATAAATTAGTCCAGATGTTTGTAAAAAGGTCTCTAATTATTTTGAGAAGTTTCGTCGTATCAGTCATTTTCAGGTTTGTAATATGTACTATATTATAATAAATAGATTAAAACTTATATTTCAGGAAACAGCGCAGCGCGGGCATTACAGATTGTTGTAAATCAGTTTTAAAATATAAAGAAGGTTTAAAACAGGTTTAAAAGTTGAGTTAGTAGAGAAGACCTAAATAAGGTAATGTTGGTAATGGGACCAAACATCAAATAACACTTGAAATATATAATTATGTACAATAATTGTAAGTAGTTTTTATGAATCTGTTTGATATCTATTGCATTGTTTTTATATTTCTTGAAATATATATTTTTTTACTTTACAGGATACACAAAGACTAATAAAAAATACAGTTACTCACTAAAAGCCCTTAAGGCACTTAAGGTTCATAATAGATGTAGTTAGAATATCAAACACCAAACCAAACCAAAAATTATGTTTTATTTTACTGGTATTCCTCACATTTGAAGGGAAAGTCATTTCATAAATAAGCAGGACATTGTATAGTACACTCTATATTAATAATTGTTTTTTATCCTATACTTGTTAGTTAACGCATCACTTACTAGGTATAAAATAATTTAGTACTGATTAACCTATAGTTGTGATTGTGATATATTCTGATGTGTTTCTGGCAAATTAAAATAAGTTAATATTTAAACAAACATTTCTGGCTTTCCTGACAGGAGTGTGGACACAAATTTAATAAATGTGGATAATGTTCTGATTATTACAGTTTGCGTGGATGTTTTTGTATGTTATTATTTTTAATAAAGTATATTTAATGAGTTTTTGAGTATTTCTTTGTCCTTCAGAGGATTGTGTTCTAATCTTTATATATTATAAATTTTCATAAATTATATCTACAAAATTTATTACCTTATAATTTTTTGCTAAATACTTTGTAGTTGATACAGTTTAACAGTATATAAAAGAACTATTTAAATAAGATGTTTGAAAATATATAGCTGTTTTTGCACACATCAAGTCAATTTGTGATTAACTGTACTGAAATAAAAACAAATTAAGAGAAATGGGGTGATCTATCAACTATAACATGAAAAGCATCATACTATTTCCAAGTCTTCTATTAATTTCACTTATTAAACAACTATAATTATTCAATAATCTTGATAATTCTAGGAACTCTCAGATATCGTCAAAACATGAAAACAAAAATTTACTTCCTATAGTTCTTACGTCCCTTTAACTGAAATATAAGAAACAGGGTAGTTAATAATCTCACTGTGAGTTTATAAAATACCTTTAAGTAAAATCTCTTCGGATCTGCGGTAAAATACCTTTATTCTTATTAAATAATTTCAATAATCTATGTTTTTATTTATGATTTATGACAACCACCTAATAACCTAACTTTAACGTCAACTTGACAATCCTGAACACAACCAAAGAGTAAATCAATTTCTGAATTCGCTAACGCCAACTTATTTTACATTAAAAAAAAATTATCAATTTTCCTAACTAGGTCGGCCATATTGAGGAACTTTTAAAAGAATAGTACTATATGTACCATCACATATGATATACTTAGTAGTTTAATTATTATTAAAGGGATATGTAGATTAACTAAAGATGATCGTCAAGTACCTAATAATTTTACTTTCTGACCCACCCCTGTACACCTAACAGCTAACTATTATACAGGGTGTTTCAAAAAACATGCGCCATCTCTCGTGGGGAGATTCCTTACGTAAAAATAAGAATTATTTTTCATATCAACATAGGATTCTTCTTTGTTTCGTAGTTACAGGGTGTTAAAGTCGTAATATTTTTTCGATTTATTATAATTTTCTTACAAGTACTTTTAGCGTTTCGAATGAAATTTTGAGGGTAAAAGTTACTATAAATCCGACATATTTTAAAGCTAAAAAAGTGTCGACATATTCACCAGAGACGTGCATATGGGTTATCACTGGAATATTTTTCTAAAAAAAGCAAGTACGCCACTGACTTTTTTCTCTTGTTAGCGGAATAGTGAAGCAGTTTAATGCCAATTAAAAGTTGTTTCTTGATATTTTGTCGATTTCGGCCTTCTTGATGAGATAAATGCAATTTTATTAATTTGTCTTGATCAAAGTCTAATAGCAACTTTTAAAAAAAATTAATATCATTAACTTGCGAAAGTTTAAAATAAGTACTCATTGATTCCTCATCAAAAAATATGGAAAAAAGTTCCTATAAACATGGGTATTGGAATTGCATAGTTTTATAGTTACAGGATGTTAAAACTTTTTAAAATTATTTTTTTTGTAGATATCTTAAATACCAGTATTTTCTTATTTGAAATTGCTGCAGGTTGGAATAATAACTCATACTAATAATATTTAATAATAAATTAGGTAAAATATATACAGGATGACTAAAAATAAGTGCAAGTATTTTAAGGGGTGGTAGATCTGGTCAAAAGAAACATTTTTTCTCTTTACTGTTTTTCAAATAAGTCCAAAATAACCGAGTTATTTTACTTTGAAAATTTCCAAAAAAAATGATTTTTTGCTAAAATGTTGAGAACCACTGGATCTTTTCTGGATCTTCTTTCATGTAAATTTAAGCTACTACCTATGTTGCCATATTATCATGAAATTATGTCTTTTAACTTAAAACTAGAAAAATTTCCAAAATTTTTTTCAAAAAATTCCAAATTTTCAAAAAATTTTTTTCGCAAAAAATACCTCATAGGCGTGTAATCACAATTGTAGGTACTATACTACCAGTTAAAATACTTGCACTTATTTCTGGGACACCCTGTATAAAATATTAATTTTATTTTTATTTTAATTTTATTAAATCAAAAAAACATCAAGAGATTTAGCATTAAACGGCCTACATAATTTTGATATCAAAAGAAAAAAGTCAGTGGCGCACATGTTTTTTTTTTGAAAAATATTCTAGTGATAACCCATATGCACGTCCCTGATAAATTTATCGACACTTTTTTTAGTCATTAAAATATTTAGCACTTATAGTAACTTTCACCCTCAAAATTTCATGGGAATCACTAAGAGTACTTGGAAGAAAATTATAATAAATCTAAAGATTATTAAGAGTTTAACACCCTGTAGCTACGAAACAAAGCGGACAAAAATCGAACATATATGTTGATATGAAAAATAAATCTTATTTTTACGTGAGGAATCTCCTCACGAGAGATGGCACCTGTTTTTTGGAACACCCAGTATATTATTACTAGTAACATACGAAGACATAGAGAGAGTCCCAGAATTTAGTATATGTAGTTCGTAATAGTGACTCATAAGTTTTGTTTATCTAGTATGCCTAGACCTTATTTATTATTTATTCAGTTCACGTATATTCTATACTGGTAGAAAAACCTTTTTGATTTTTTAATTCTTAGTATTAATTGCATCCATATTAAGGAAATTATAATAACTGCAATATAATAAGGCAAATATTGGAAACTATTCAGCAACTGGTGTGCTGTGGTAGATTATTGTAATGAGTTCATTAGATACAGGGAAATAAAATAAAAATCATAGTTTTTTTTAGGAATATTTCGTTTAATTTATTTTTTAAAAGTAGAGGACATGTACACAGCGACACTTCACATATTGATTTTCCTACTTTAATACATTTTGAGAAATTAATCGTATATTATATCAGCGCATAATAAATAATTATAAAACAAATAACAGAGAGTTTGAAACTTGAGTTAGGCATATTTTTAATTGTTAAAAAATGTAACAAATCTGAAAATTTGCTGATATTAATATTGTTATTGAATTAACAAAAAGAAACACTTATATTTATACTCTTCCATATCGTTTTTTCATATATAATATATACATTTTTTTTCTATTTTCCAACATTTATGCGCATTTTCAAATGGACTTTGAAAATCGAGTGTCTTTGGTAAAACAGAAACAATTTTTTGAATTTGATTAACTATTATACAAGTTTATACATTTATTACAGGTTTTTTATTAACACAAAATACTAACAATATGTACAGGAGAATTTTAAAATAAATATACACATTATCTAAAATAAAAGGAACATTTTTTTCTATATAAATTCCACGGATTAAGGGTTGTGTGCAGTCTAGATTAATCTAAAGTTAATAGAGAGTCAATACATAGTATATTACTATATTGTTAAAATACGAACATATAGATGGGCAAGGTAAAATACGCTCGAAAAAAAAAACAACGTCAAAGACGGCTGGGGAATGACAATCGATTATAATTTTGGCTGGGTCAAGCCCTAGACGTGATTTTTTAATGGCACTTACTGCCAGTTGGCCTTAAGGCGTAGTAAAATTCGAGAAAAACATTTTTTTTGGAAACAGTTTTTGGTAATAGATTGACCTCGGCAAAAATTATGATCGATACTTATTCCCAGCCGTCTTTGGCGTGTTTTTTTTCAATTGTACGGAATTTTTTAAATAAATTTGCATTTGTCAGTTAAATCTTTTTGAAATTTAGCTGCACTTTAAAAGAAATACCATGTATATCTTCCAAAAATCGTTTTTACAAAGCACCACCAATAAGTTTTTTTTTCAATTGGTAATATAATAACTTTTACTTAATAGTAGTTTCTTATAAAGGTTTGTACTTTTGCAATAAGCTTAAATTTTATTTATATATTACGAAAAAAGCACTTAGAGGTTATATATACGTTTTGACCATGTGTAAATAAATAAAATTTACATCTACAGTGTGTTTTCTTTTATCAGAAACTAACTATTGCACTGAAAGGTCTCAAATTGATACAAAATTCATTAGTTAAACAGATTTATATAGTAAAACATACTGTAGAGTGTTATGATTGTTAAATAAAGCAAGAAATTTAATCACATTCTAAAAAAAGATATCTATGTCGTTTGGAGTTATCATTTTATACTTAAACCAAAATTTCAGTACAAAATGAGTACTCCATACTAACCAATCGTACCTCTGTACATTTATTTTCAACCGACATCATCATAAAGACACTTAATCACTTCTAAGAACACTAAATTAACTGTTACTGGTATTGAAATATTCTTAAATATAGGAAACTTTATGTATTTTTGTTTAGAAACCAGATACAACAGTGGTATTTTCGTTTAACGTATAAAAATATCCATGTTGAATACAACTTAAGACTTGTAATAGATGTATTTTCATCATAAATCTTTGTTACAAGCCTACTGAGTAGAATTTTTTCTAATATTGCAAGCCAATCCCGATAGAAAAACTGATGAGGAGTTACTACCATACGATCGAAAAAAAACGGTGTCAAAGACGGCTGCGGAATGACAGTCAATGATAATTTTGGCGAGGTCAAGCCCTAGGTAGTTTAAATTTCGAGAAAAAGTATTTTTTTGGAAATAGTTTTTTGTGAGTTCTATTCTTTTTTAAATCTTTATTAGTATTAATTTTTCACAAATATTATGTGAATTTTTACTAAATGACATCTGGAGATTGACCTGCCTAAAACTATCATCGATTTTCATTCCACAGCCGCCTTTGACGTTTTTTTCGGTCATACGGTATACTTTGTTCAATTCATGTTTCTTTGGACAGATAGATCTTAAAATCTACAGGTGTCCCATTTTCGTGTGTTTTATAAGCAGAGTATTAACATACAAGTGTTGGTGTATGATCACATATACAAGAATACAGATCCTTGGTGTCCGTTAGTGTGTAAAATACACACTAATGAAAACATAAGACTTGAACCGGACGCTCTTTTTGTTAACTTTATAATAAATGAATTTTTGCAAATATTGGTTGTTCTATTTTAATCTTTTGCATTTAGAACGATTGTGGCGCCCTCTGGTGGCAAAGCCCTGAACTAAAAGCGGGAACGTTGCGCCTTCTAGCGGTAAAACACTGAACTAAACGCGACTGGTGGTGCCCTCTGGCGGCAAAATGTTGAACTAAATTGCGATGGTAGCGCCCCCTAGAGGCAAAAGTTTGAACCAAAATCGCGGATGTAGCGCCCTCTTGCGGCGAAACACTGAACTAAAAATTTAGTTTCAGTTTTTGGCAGCAGAGGGCGCCACATGTTTCGTTTAGTTCAACATTTTGCCACAAGAGGGCGCCACATTTGCAATTTTAGTTCAGCTGTTTGCTGCCAGAGGGCGCTAAGTGTTAATTCACTCTTCGGCCGTTAGGCGGCGCCATAATCGCGGCGTGTGAAATAAAGTGATGTAAAATATCTTTGTATCTCTACTCATAAACGAAAAAAAACATAAAACCCACGAAATATTGGACATCCTGTATATTCAGCAATTTCCAACTGTCAAAAATAAAAAAAACACCTTAACGTTCTAATAATTCCTGATTTTCGTGAGGATTTTTAATAATGGCAATAAGAAAATCTAACAATTTCCACACAAGTTTTTCATTGAACAACGTCACCATATCACTATTATTTGTCACTGTTACTGTCCGCAACGTCACTAGCAGTGTTATGTTTCACGTCCAATCCATTCACCATTTTCTCTATACTCTTCAAGTCACTGGGAGAATTTGCCGTTTCCGGTTTAGGCGAGACGGTACTACTCCTAACGGGAGGTGATAACGAAGACGCCCTGATCTTGGTACTGTTCGGAGAATTACTCAAGCTACGCGTATGCGAACTGGGAGTAACCGTTTCGAAAGCACTACCCAGAGGGGAAGAACTCACACCACCACCTCCTCCTGAAGCATTTGGTAAGGTGTAGGGAGTGAACCTATGTCCTCCTTTGAGGTGGTTGTGTATAGGGGAAGTGGGAGACAGGTGATGGTTATGGGGACTGGGATGCGTCAGATTCTGGTAATGCGAAAACAGAGCTGGATGTTGAGCAGCTAGAGCCAATTGAGCGTTGAAAAAGAGACTTGGGTTCATCCCACCCGGAGCATGACCTCCCGTGAACAAACTTAGCGGTGGTGCAAAAGGATTAGGACCTCCTGCACCCGGATACATCCCCGGAGGGTAGAAGTAAGGAAGTAAATGAGGTGGTGGGTGAATGGGAGGTCCGACACTTATGTTGGGCGAAGGGTACTCCCCGCTGGAACTCGAAGGCCCGGCAGCTGAATCTTTGGGTGAGGAAGGCCGTTGCCGGAAGGCGGTACTACCGGGAGATTCACTGCAGGATGATTCCGATCCCGAATCGTCATGGAGTCTGCGTCGAATTGAGTCATCTTCGGCGCCTGAAATAAATAAAAAAATGTAAATTTGGAAAATGTGTAATTTGCTTGTACCTACCGCTGTGGTTCAGACTAGAAGCTATGGGTGTGGACGCGTGTAAACTAGGCCTCGGACTGTCCGCAGTACCGACCACATCCAGTTCGCTGTCATCCGTTTTTGAGACGGTACTACTGTCTGCTGACATCCTCGCCGGAAGAGGGTGAGATGTCTTGTCGTCCGTATGCCGTTGTGCCAGCATGGCTTGTCTGTAACAATTGGTGCAAATAAAATTTATTAGATTTGTTTGTAAATGTCACAATATTTTTTATACACTGTAGAATTAAATAAATTTTTTTTGAGGTTGGAGGTGAATATAATGGGGATAGTGAAATCAGATATTTCGTAAGAGTCGATTTAGACACTCCGTAGGCCATGGACAATGATATGGCCGAGAACAAACAAAGTACCTTTAGCAGCAAATAGAAGACGTTTTAAATACTTTTTACTTTTTCATTCACATCCTCCTTCCTTTGTCTTAAAACTTGTCCCCCGTACATTAAGCCCCCCACGTGCAATCTTCCACTACACGAAATCGATGACATCCTTCTTAAAAAACGGCGTCGTGTCGGCCCGGGAATGACTCAGACAGCCGGCCCCCCTCTCGGTAATTGCGCTCGGCCGAGCGAGTTAGCCGATTTCCATTTAGCGCACTCGAAAAGGTTACCGGCTATAATTATCCCTGTGGTTGGTCAATTAGCTATTGCCGTTCGCGAAGGGACTGTCCGGTAGCCCTAGACAGCCACCCTACTTCATTCCTGATGTCTGAGGAATGATGAACAAGAAACTAGTTGGTGACTAGCTAAAAAATGATAACTTTTTTATTTTTTTTCCGTATATATATACTCATGAAATTTGTCGATTTTGATTAAACTACTGATATTTACTAACTAAAAGGCGTAGAACAAGAGAGAATGTATGCTATTGTGTAGATTTCTACTCTATTTAGACCTTGCCTTATATCAACAACAACTTTTACAACTCCCACATCGACCTTCTTCATTCATTTCCCCCCTCAAAATCCACCCCTGGCCGATGTTTACAGGGTAAATCGACAGATTCCGAACAAAGTGCACCGATCAATCGTCGGGGGATGAAGCTGTCTGTCCTGGCCTCCTACAAACTACCCCCGATTGATAACGCGATTAAGACGTCTTAAATTGAAAATAAAGAATCGCCAAGGTTCGTGCTACCGAAAAAGACTTTCTGCTGCCAGCCAGAGAGGTCGACGACGCCGATAGAGCCTCGTATCGATTTTGCATTAGGGATTTTTAACGATTCCCTGTATATGGTCATCGGACAAAGGCCGAGGGTCGTTTGATTCGAACTGAAGTCGAGGGATTTATCGGTGTTTGTTCTTTTTCTCGGCGGAATCTCTGAAATTGTTCTATTTAAAAAGAATCGATATCTTTCTTAAGGGAGGTTAAAGTTAATCACCGCGACCTTATAGATCTATTGTGTCTCCCTTTCTTGAGTTATAATTCATCATCAAGAAATGTTGATCACATATACCTGGGCATACAAGGCTTTGGGCCTTAAGTTAAACATCGAGAGAACTAAAATCATGTGCACTCCCCCAGAAGATCACAACAATGCTATAATAATCGGGGAACTATTGAAATATGTAGCGGAATTCAATTACCTAGGCAGTTTGATTTCGGAAAAGGCCAATATCGACTCTGATATTCAGCACAGGATTAGCAGCGCCTCAACAGCGTTCTGGGAAAATCGTCTAATTATTATTTCTTATTTTTGAATGGATTTATATCAAACCACGTTAAGATTATATATAAAAGTATCTTTTATTGACATCGGGTCAATCAATAATGTTCCAAATCAGCTCGATATATTGATGATGTTGCCAGTATTACTCTTTAAGCAATACTACTGTTATATTAATCAATTAAGGCCGCGTAAACAAACATAACATATACCTACAATTTTATATACCTATTCATTATAATAAAATTAATAATAAACATATTGTAATTATATTCCTGCAGATTGAGTGAAAAGTTTTGTTCTTAAATATCTACTCCACATATTATAAACGCGTGTTCAATTATTAATTTTGTGGAATATATATCAATATAAAACGAGATGTAATCAACGAAATATCATCGTAACAACAGCTATTTTAGAAAAGTCTAGGTTTACTTATTTCACTGAGATTTATGAAAAAAAAATCCTTTGCCTCGGGTACAGATACCGCCACGTTTTGGAAACGCCAAAAAAAATCCCCTCACGCCTTCCTCACGAGTAGTTTTCAGGTACTTTTAAGAATCGAATGTAGATCAGGGCAAACCGAAGTGGGTCAAGACAACTGGAACTAAATCGAAATGCCTTGACCTGTTTCGAAGAGATCTCTGCATAGTGTAGAGGCTGTTTAAGGTTCAAATATCTTTTTCGCCTGATCCTTCCTGTCTATAATTGGATAAAAACTGCTAAATAAGTATCTGTATGTCACGACAGAAGACTCTAACCGGTGAATTTGCAAACCGTTGGGGTCTTACTTAATAAAAAAATCCAACTAAATTTAAAAGTATAATGTCCCGTTTCGGCGGACTAAAGAGATAATCATGAATCCACACCCTTCTGGTGTTAGATAAAATTGTCCGTTGAAATTAAAAGAGGGCTGGGGATGAACCGTCAAAGCGCGCGTTAAAAGCCTAACCTTAAAATTACAGGGCACATTTTTTGACCCTCCTAATAGAAACAATGAGACGGCTTAATGCCGTTTAAACAGATCGATAGCGACGATGATACTGATGTGGGGTAGAAGATTCGTTATCGGAGAAGGAGGGTAAATTTTTGGTTAAAATAGTAGCACATGGTTTAAAAAACGTTTCAATTTATTTAAGGGTGGAGTAAATAGTGTATCACACTTTAGAGAAAAATAAATATTACAGATACAAATAATATAGCACAGTTACTATATACCGTGTTGGCAACTCTTACTTTTGGGTCGGTATTTACATGTGTGAAAGTAAATCGCATAGGGATCTTATTAAGTCGGAGTGAGAGAAATGCGACGGTGTGCTGTTGCGGCGTTGCCACATTTCTCCGGTACGCCTTTCCCTAGTAAACTAAAATCACGATCGCAAACCGCGTATTTTTAAGACTTTTTTCGAAAAGATAACTAGATAAAATCATTAGATATGTTTCTGAGCATCTGAAATTGAATTATAAGGATATCGTCAGGGTATCCATTTTTTTTAACGAGAAAACGTCAGTAATCGCGATAATTTAAAAACTCAACTTTTTTTTCTTTCGCAACCACTTTAGATATTGATTTTTTTTATTTTGAAGTTCGGATCTTTTACAAGATGTTTAAATAAGAAACATTTGATAGGCTTGTTTTTTTCCATTCAAAAAAACATCCATTTACTTTTAGTGCATAGCAATTTTCAGCAATCGTGTAACTTTTTTATTTATAAAGATTTTCACCTACTGTCTGCGAAGAAAATATAGCAGAGATATTAAGAAAGTTTTTGAAAAAAAAACTACAATCAATTATTTCTAATGGATTTCGAGATATCGATTTTTGAATTTGAGTTCTAATAGCGCGACCACTGTCAAACACCAACTCAATTCCACTTATTTTTACCAAAAATGCAAGTGTTTCTAACTTGCACCAAAGATAATTCTATTTAACTATAATATTCTTTGCTTGCACTTAAAAATTTACAAGTTATAAGGAAAATTACAACGACTAGTTAATAAATAAACAAATAAAGTATCACGAGACGTAATTAAATGGTGAAGCTGAAAGCATGATTGTACATCTTTCCCTAGAATTTTAAGTACTGACAGAGGACAGAGATACTGATTGAGTCGACCGGTCGACGGTGACGAATCTGCTGTATCCCCTTCCACCTGTCTTAGCAATGCAGCAGTTTCTCGGTTTATTTCATACGTTTGGCAACGTGTTTACTATTCTCTCTTTGTTCAGTACATTATAAACGCATTGTACTCTTCTTACATACGGAAATCTCGAGACAGAACTACCAAATGGAGAAACGACAGGTTAAAAATAAAATTACGCTTTTTTAAAGCGAGACTGCCTTCTTAGAATGCTAAGCCCGTCCGCTGGCTTCGACATGTCGAAATTACAGACCGCAAGCCCAATGCGACATCCCTCCAAATTATTCCTGGCATTTGGTTAGAAGGTCGATCGCGTAGGGGGCGCTAAAGGGCACAGTTAGGGGGGAAGAGGCGTACCCCGTTGCCACATCTGCCACGTTTGTCCCGTCACTGAGAGACGATATATAGGTTATTCGAATTGAAAGGGTTTCTTTTAAATAAATTTAATCGCAATAATTTTAAATACGGTCGTCTTGTATATTTTTGTCTGTAATAAACTTATGTATATCACCTTAAAGGTGGAAACAGGGAAGGAAACATTTTAAAGGCTATTTGAATAGATCGATAGCTCAAGAAGGGTTGTATCGAGGACGGGATCTCTGAAAGTACTTAAATACTTACTTCTTTTCCCGCTTGCCTGCTCCCGTATCCCTAAATCCTTTAGCGAATGGGTTATTGTCGATTTTCAATTGAGTTATCTGCAAAAAAAGGATAAGATCTTTAGAGAAACTGTTACGAAAATATGGATATTTAGATAATATAATAATGCAATATTCAATTCTATATTATATATATATATATATATATATATATATATATATATATATATATAATATAATAATGCAATATTCAATTCTATATTATATATATATATATATATATATATATATATATATATATATATATATATATATATATATATATATATATAACCATCGGCCACTAGTAGTTTCTTAAAATTTATGGAGGAACATCGTTTAAATTTTTGTTGATGGAAAGATGTAATAATGATGATTTTGATGATGAATTTGTTTTACAAAATATTTCTTGGTATCTATTTCCTCCATAGTACCATTTAATTTTGGTGACTTTCTATTTAATTGCATATTCTATGACACAAAAAAAATGTTTTAGACTTCAATGCTTCAAAAATGTAGTAATACCAATGTCATAAAATTTAATATATTACTGGTGGCCGGAGTGTTTTATCCTTGTATAAGTTACTACTTTTGTTAAGGACCCAATCTTCCTAATAATTTAAAAACAGCTTAGCTGAAGACTTTCTATATACAGGTCGCGCAAAAACTCGCTGTAAAAATCTCAATCAAAATCGAACGGATCCCTTCGCTAAAACCATCGTTTCTTCTTCTCCTTGTCCTTTATTGGCTTTCATCCTTGTCTGGGGCCTCTTTATTAATGCTTTTCTCGCGTACAGGTGCGCTCACGAAGTGACAAAACCCAATCCATATTTATAAATTCGACGTATAGAGAGACAGACCATTACGCGGCGGACAATGGGTCGTATATTAGCGATGCGAAGGATTAATAAACGCGATATAAGGTTATAATAACGGCGACGAGTTTTGAAAGAAGTGCCGAGCGCGATAAAAAAATGTACAGTTATAGTACAGCCGGGTAACAGTCGATATGAAATTGCGCACTCATTACTTTTTATTTTTTCGCACGTTTTTTCTTAAGCTTCGTTCAGAACCTCGAAATTAGTGGTTTCAATTAGCGAAGAACTTCGTTTCTCTTGAACTCTGAACTCTGTCCTTATAAATCTATTGTGTCCTTCTTTCTTGAGTTTTAACTCATCTTACTGTCTCAGGACTTTGACAAAAGGCAGTATCTGAGATTGTTTTACAGCAGTTTAGGTTGGCAGGAATGGTTGTCGTCTCGAGGTACTCAGTGATGAGGTGTTCCGGTGTTTCCCCATTTTTCCCAGAGAACGTATTAAAAAATTCTGCTTGTTTTCAAAACAATGATTTTTTAATAAAAAAAAACATAAGCCGTTTTATCCCACAGACAAAAATTGTTTTGCTCTTTCTATGTGTATTACAGTACCTATAGTAGAACACAACACATTCAGATGACGGCACTTCTCGGAACAGCCAAACAAACTTTTTGTATCTTCTAATTATCACGCGACACAAATACTGAGATTCCTTAATCTATTTAGTCGACATGAGGCGGTCTTTCTTTCTTTTTTCGGTGATTTTTTGTCCGGTCAGCCAGGCCAGCCATCGGCTCGCTTGGTCGCCGGCTACTGACTAACTTCTTAGAACTAATTAGGAGATGTTTTTGTTCTAACTACCAACAGTTTTTTCGTTAAACGATTCGTCTAAAACATACGAAGGTTTCGGAGATACGGCTTTAAAAGGAGCCAGAGAAAAGTATAAATTTGTATTTTAAAGGTATAAGAGAGTTTAGTGAAGTTGTCATTGTTTGTCATTTCCCAGCCCTTTTTTTTAGTATATAACATGACTGGTAAAGAAAATTCAATGCAATAAATAATGAAATGAGGATGATGCTTCCTGTATGGCTAGTAGTTTTTCTCAGTAAAAACTTTCTCGTGTAGAAAAATATGACTCAGCTTAATTTATATTAATTTATTTATATTGTTTTGCACACATTTGCCACTAACAAAGGAAATTCCTTCGGTGTTAACTAAGATGTGTTAATGATAATGGAAATCAGTTAAATCACAACGATCAGAAAAAAAAACGCTTTGAACATGTCATAAAGCAATACTGACAGTTAGGTATTTATTATTCGCTGATCAACTATTGATTTTTTTATTCTATTTTATTTCCCTGTATGAACCTATCATTATTCTTAAAATTTACCAAATGAATTAGTGAAATTGAATAAATTAACTTCAAATTATTACACATAAAAGCTTTTATATCAGTCCGAGTAAGTTTTTTTTGTCAAACTGATTAGAAGTTATCAGCTATTGTTATTATTACTTTTTGGTCCTCCCTGTAGACATAAGCGAGACCTGTAGACCTAAGATTCTCATATCTCTGGTAAAACTTAATCTTTCTCTGACAATTCTGAAGACATTTCACAGGACACTAATTTTACCGATTAATTATGCTGTCCCGGTGTTCAGAAGCATTTTTCACTTTCAGCTAATTACGCGGCCGTACTGTTGTATAATTGCATCGTTTCACTCTAATTATTCACGTGTTTAACATGTCTTTGTGGTTCTTTACAAGAGCGCTAATACGAGAAAATAAGAAGACTGAGGAATAGTTCCCAGCATCTTTATCTCCATGACGTGTACGAGATATGTTCAGGCATCCTGATTTTGATTATGTGATTATTTTGTTCTAAAAAAGCTCCTGAAAAATACCACACTTCTTCTAACTGGTGCATGTTATAAAATAATAATATGTTTATATGTCGTGCAATTAGAAATTGTACAAAAATATAACTGTTCACAAGAATGGTTATAAAACAGCACTGATAAAAAAGAGAGACTTGAACTAAAGTCGTCATCGTTCTTGAAAAAAAAATTAGTGGCAAGAGAATTTATTTTAGCGTAAAAGAAAATATTTTGCCTGAAGAAAAACTCTCTTAACTCAAGAAAACTGGTTCTCTTGAAAAATTCGAAAATTTCTCTTGAATCTATTTTCATTCAACCAAGTGCAAGTTACTTTGTTTTAAGATAATAAGAAAAATACGCTAGAAAGTACTTCGTTCAAGAAACATGGCCATTTTTCCAATAGCTAAATATTCTTTTGATGAAAAATAATAACCACACGCAAAGACGATGACGAAGGACGGTATATACAATAGCTTTGTTCGGGTCCTTACCGATTCGAACCGTCCCGGAACTCTGCAGCGCATGCGCAAATGAAATAATGTCTTCATATTTCCTTCTGTGCATACGCATCACAGTTCTAGGACGGTTCAGAATCGGTAATAAGAGAAACCCGAAGTAAGCTAATATACAATCGATTTTTTTATGCAAATAATTACAAAAATTTTAGAATTTCAAGTCGTCGTTATAAAAATTCAAAATGTGACCAAAGCCTATAATTTTAATAATTTATTTGCTTTACTTTGATTAATCGTGATGTAACATTTTTTTGTAATTTGTAGAGTGATGAACCACCCCAAAAAATACCAAGGAGTTAAGAAGCAGAAATAACTACTATCGAGGAAAATAATATCACTTTACTTACTACAGACCAGGAAAACCTAAATTTATCTGAAAATAATATATCTCGTAATATGCCTGTATATGATGTATAGACTTCTCTTAGATCAAAATAAATTTTAGTTGAGTCAATAGTATTCGCTATTGCTTTAAGAAAAGTGTCTCTTTAATCAAGAAATGTCCCTTTTCAATCAAGAATTTTGGCATGAATCAAAGAGACTATTGTTCTTGTAGCAAGAACTTCTTTGCATATTCATTTTGGGTCAAGAGTGAAACACTTTCGACAGATAGATTCTTCTATTCTCTAAAGTAATTTTTTAAAGCTTATGAAAAGATAGTTAATGCTTTGGGTAAAGAAACGTCGTTCTTGGCCCTATTGAAAAGCGCCAATCTTTTGGGTCAAAGTCATATTCATTTCGACTGAGAGATCCTTTTTTTCAGTGAGTGTGGGTCAAACAAATCTCTATAATCATGCAGAAATTTACGGCAGACCTGATAGGAAAAGACAAAAAACTGTCAAAGCTATCAAGAGGCATCTAGAACTGATGGGATTGACAGTCAATCTGAAGAAGAAACTACAGAACACATTTGTGCGCTTCTTTATATTAGACAATAACAGAAAAACTATATGAGGATAGGGAGGGTTCATTCTCCAAATTGTTAGACTTTTTGAAAATGATAGAACTGGAGAATGTGTTCTAGAAATCAGGATCTGAGAAGGTCACAGTGGAACTGAAAAAAAAAATCTAAAAAACTTGTATGTATTTTCAATTTTTCTTTTGTATGTATATAATTTTTATATATTATCGTAATTACCGTTTGAAATTAAGATTTGTATGTTAGTAGAACTAACTCTAACACTATTAAATATTGAAAGTAGTTGCTATATATGTATAAAATATCTTATAGTGAAATGTTAGAGTTCTAAACCCGTTTACTGTTTGAATGTTAAATTTACTATCTTATCGCGAGCGGTGAATCCACTCACTATAAAGAGTATCTACGTATTTTATGTTATATCCTGGATGGGATATTACAAGTAATATCTAAAATGAACAAGAGCATTGCATGCGGATTAATGCCACTTCTATTAGCTTATTACGTAATTAACATGGCTTTCCACTGTTTTTTTTCAGGTATTATTTATTAAAACGATATACCGGATGGTCTACATAAATACACGAAAAAATTAAATCCATTGATTAAATCTAAAGAATATTTTGTTTAAGTAATATGTCTTTTTTATTTCTGAAAAAAATCATAATATAAACTCACCGGCACAAAATTCCGCCACCCTAAAATTTTGACTAAGTTTGATGTTTTATAATTTTTGAATTTAAAATCCGATTTTTATGATTCTGGTATTAGTTTGTAGATAAATTTGTTGGCATTATTTTTTATTATTTTAGTGGCTTATATATTTCGGTTAGGTGGATTTATACCGGGGTATATCAAAACTTTTTTTTAAATAAAAAAAATTGCAATAAATTCAAAACACCCTGTGGAAAAATGGGACGGGCATTTTGAACACTTTCCTTTAATCTTAAATGTATTCCTGACATTTCATTTTTTGAATTATCTTATTCTCTATATTCTTTTATGAGATTCACATTTTTAAATAAAGTTACTGATATTTTTACAATCCTGAAGTTGTTGGAAATGGAGCTCTCAATGCCCACCGTTATACTGAGGATGTCTTCCAAGAAGTTGTCGTTCCATTTGCTCCTTTCGTTGGAAATCAGTTTAAACTGATGCATGATAATGATGAGGTTAGACTACGAAGATTGGAATGGCCTCCTTGTAGTCCCGACCTCAATCCAATCGAACATTTGTGCGATGAACTTAAAAGAGCTGTTCGTCGGCATTCTATTCCACCACAAACTTTACAAGAGCTACGGCTAGCATTAACGGAGATTCCTCCATTAATGCTAGCCTTAGCTCTTGTAAAGAGTTTTCGTGATCTATGGATTGATATTCATTAAGCTATAGATCAAGAAATAATAACTACCCTTATTCATTCGATACGACGAAGTTGTTATTGCTGCGAGAGAAAGACTACACGCTACTAAAATTATTATAAAATTATTGTTTTTGTCGATAAAAGAATCTCTGAAATCAATACTTTACTTAAAAATGTGTAGCTCATAAAAGAATAAAGATAATGGGATAATTCAAAAAATTAAATGTTGGGAATAGATCTAAGATTGCAGGGTGTTTTGATGGGAAATCTTCAATCAAACGTAATCTTCAAGACTTACGACCGAGAAACAGAGGTCAGCCGTCTCAAATACTGGCCTTTTGTCAAAGCCTTGAGACTGTATGATGAGTTACAACTCAAGGAAGATCTGTAAAAATATATTCCTTTTAACTGAACTTAATTTCAAACTAGAGCATCACCCTGTACATATAAAGTCGTAATATAAAAAGCCAACTGGATTTAGTTGCAGTCTCTCGTAGATAATAACTTCCGACGCTTACGACAATAACAATAAATAATATTCACATTAATAACAACTAATTAACAAGTCGTAAGAAATTATCGTTCATTATCCTTTGATTGCGTGTGATTTGTAATAACAATTTTCTAGAATGTGCCGACAAAAGAGCCGCTACCGTGTTCAACAGGGCAAAATAAATAATTTAAACTTTATTTGGGTATCTGTTTGTTAATAATATGTTCTATTTTAAATTATTTATATAAAAATGACTGCCTTTATTCAGTTACCTACCTAAATTACCTACTATTATCAATATAATTTTTATTGATTTTGAAATTGAGTAATTTAATTTAAATACGATTTCATCGTGTTTAAGAATGTTTTGTATGCAGAACAAACATTTTAAACATATGTAGAAAAAAAAATAAGTACACAATTCTGCTGTCATGTCACTGATTACCGATAAATCTACTGTCGGGCGGTAATTCTCGTTCACACAGCAGCTGCCTGTCGCAGCAAAAACATGCGAATCAACAGTAAAAGTTTGAGAGAAAAACTTATTAACAGTGCTACCTACAGTTGGAAAAACCGCATTCCGAGACATTTTTTTTGTTTCAAATCAATATTCATATTATTCAGCTTTAATTGGATTTTTTTTAAATAGTTTTGTCGTTAGTAAGGCTATATAGTATATTAACACTTACCAAAAATTATGGCATTGTTGCTAAAAATATTAAGTTGCAAACAATAAAACAAGAATGTTTTTTGTTAAGAGTACTTGGTAAAATCATTGAGGGGGGGGGGGTAATACCAGGATAATTCCTGTGATATATTCTTTCTGCTACATCATTTCAATAAAACGCTCTAGCTTGTTATGTATAAACATATTATAATTAATTAATTAATTAATTGAATAAATAAAAAAATCTTACTTTTTCGTTTTGGTAGGCTGTCACAGCTATAAATTCCGTCTCCTTAAACACGTAGGTCCTAAAGGTCGAGTAGGGCAGCTTCAGAATGTCATTAGCCCTTACCAAATGAAACCTCGGCTGATATTTGTGCATGGAATTTAATATAGTCTGTAACAAAGGAGAAACACATTAGTTTACGATGTATGAGAATAAATTACGCCATATAAAATATGGCTTAGAGAAAAGTACGGTTCATTTTGATTGCTTTGAATGTCTTGATTTTGAAACTGAATGTCAAAATCAAGGTTCAGTGGAAAGAGCTAACAGAGACGTTGAGGAAATTTTAGCTCTTATCATTGAAAAAAAAACATACACGGTGTTCCTTAATGACATGCTAATATTTAAGGGCGCGATTCTTGGACCTATTCTAAGAGAAAAACTTCATATGAATGTCCTAAAGATCTTAATTTCTGAGATACAGGGTGGTAAATTTTTCTAAAATTTTTTTTCTTCATAATAACTCTGATTTTATTACATATATCGTTATGAAACTTGACACACGTCTTCTATGTGTAAAATCGCTTATTTCTAGGGCTTACTCAACCGGGTCTTACAATGCAAATTCACCTCAAATATCCATTTAGTTGGTCATTGGCAAGCACTCTCTCATTGTACATGAAAATAACAAAACAAACATTTACTGATCTGGATAAAATTGATAGTTAAATAGTAAGACTCGCCCGGGGGTACTCCGCCCCCTAACCACTGACATCACTGACATTCTATTCAATATATCACATTCCATATCTTCCATCTAATTCAAATATTATTCGGTTATATATTGCTTAATCATCTTCAACAACTAGCTAGTGTCACCTGAAATAGTATAGGGGCTTCCCCCGGACGCAATTCTGCCGCTAAACAGATTCGCATCCCAATCGAATAAGCTAATTGGGGTACCTCACTAGTCTCTCTATCCCAACGCCGCATCGTGTCAATTGAGAAGACAAGGGAGACCTCAAACTCTCAAGACCAACCTCGAAGGCAAGACGTCACAAGAGGTTTTCTTCTGGTCAAACGACCCGTTGCCTTACAGTACTTGCAACGTTTATAGTCAAAAGACTCTCAACCCTCAAATATCAGCTCTATGACAAAACACAACACAACAGCCAGCCGGTCTATCTACTACTGACCTGCCGCAGGCAAGCTAAGCCTCCTCTTACATCACAATTTTACCTGATCACAAATATTTACATCGCTTGCCAATGAATCATACTATTTTCTCTAATCGACTTTAAAATAGAGTGTTTTAGCATTACTAGATAAATAAATAGATAGTTTCCGAAGGAATGCATATTGTTTATTAGAATAGTGAATAAATAAAAGCATTATTATGACGAACTTATTTTCCAAGTTTTACATATGCTTCAAAATACCTTTTTCGGTGTACAAAGAATTTTATTTATTTCAACCAGTGCCGTCCGCTTTTATATTGAATATTATTGGAGAAAAAAGTCTCTCTTTTGAAGAAAAATATTTGCTCTGCTTTTTCAGATGTTAACATTTTTTGTGACTAACGTGAATCCATTTTTAATTAATATCTAAGATATGTAAATCTAAATAAACAATTCTATTCTATAAATAAAAAGCGACAACAAACGACAAAGGGACAGACCACCTCCGGGTCGGCATTAGCCAATCATAATAATTGTAATAAAAATATCACACATTTGCCATCCAAAACAGCGGCCGGCGGCGGCGCGGCGTCAAGTCAACACTTTAAACATAAACATATTGATAACAACTAGACCTACGTCTAAGTAAGGAATATTTCAGTATCGAGTTTCGAGTCCTCGGTTCGTGCATTTCCAGGGATTACGATTACTGCCGGCGCAAAAGTAACGAATTAGCTTAGTAACGAGTAACGAGTCCTAAATTCAAATAGTAAGCGTTACATAAAGTAACTGTTACTTTGTAACGATTAATTAGAATTTTTACATCACTATGTAGTAGTGCTACAATTTGTAATAATGATTTTCATCTTAATTCTTTGACACAAATTATTGTGAAAATTACTAGCATACTTGTTCGCCATTTTCGTATAAAATCAAACCTATTTAACTATTTTGGAGATCTACAAATTGACAGAAATAAAAGCTATACAACGTGATGCGTGTAGTACCATTTTAAACGCAAAATGCAGCAGTGTTTTCTACAATTGTCGGCTTTATAGCTGTTGTGTTTTAACATTTCTCCATAATATGTAGTCAAGAACGATATTGACCCTTGACTTCATTGTCTTAATATCTATATAGAATAACTATCTATCACTGGTCAGTTCTCTAAAACCCTATTTGTTCCTCATCACCACGTTTCATCTGATAAAAATCAACCCGAAACTCAACAAATCCTCGTCATTATTTCTACTAAAATACACATACCCCTCATTCGGCACCTTTTTTTTTTCCGAAAAAAATAAAAACCGACGATAAAAAAAACGCTCCACCCGTATCTCCACCGAGCATCTTTCCGCCGAAGCAGCGGCAGAATGCCAACGATTTTTCGGGCGAAACTTCAAAGAATCGCGGGTGGCCGGGCCTCTGTTCGATGCCCTTTTAAACTAAAAGCGCCCAACTTCGGCTTAATAGGATGTAAAGTCTTCTTCTGTGCTACCGTGGAGATAAGGCGACAGTTGACCAGCTCGCTCGAGAGGTAGGCCGTGAAGGAACGAAGACGTGGAAGGAGGGCATGGTCTGCCGCAGTGGCTTTTAGTCGCAATTGCGTAGAGCGGTACCGCGGTGATAATACAGTGCTTAAAAAGTGTCGGGGAGTTAAGTAATTCCAGCGGCGCGGTACTTTGAGGTAGCGGCGCGACTATAGTGCGTTTCATAAAAAATGAGATGGTGATGACAGGGTTTAAATTGTATCGTTAACTGAATGAACGTTTTTATAGAATAATAATTACAGTATAGTGTAGCACAATAAGCTCTAAAGAGGCATAGACAGCTCTTTTACTGAAATATACAAAGAGGCCAAAGCAAGAGTAATGATATATTATAAAACAACTCCAGAGTTGGCAATTGGGAAAGGAGTATTTCAGGGACACGCGATATCATCAAATCTCTGTACAGAAACACTAGAAGACGTCTTCCGTCAATTAGACTGGACCAACAAAGGATTGCAAATAGATGGAGAATATCTTCCTCTATTATAGTCTTGAAGAATTACAAGCACAAATTAAGGAACTAAGTACAGCCAGCAATAAATTGAGTCTCAAAATGAATTTAGCAAAAATTAAAAATGTATAACGGACTAGTGGAAAGAAAATACATTCTAATATATAACACAACACTGAAAATAGTAGAAGAATATATATATTTGGGACAGCCTTTTGTACTTAACAGCACCGCCATTGACGTCCTACAATCTGTAAAATTCTTAGGGCTTGTTGTAGACAATTCTCTGAAATGGGACATGCATATCGACGATTTGTCGAAAAAATTAAGCTCTGCCTGTTTTGCATTAAGATCTGTTTCTAAGGAGCTTAACTTGTCAGTGGCTAGAACTGTTTATTACGCACTTTTTGAGTCGCACCTCAGATATGCCCTTCCATTCTGGGGTACGTGTTGTGCGACTCAATTTGACCGCATTTTCAAGCTCCAGAAGAGAGCTGTTCTATATTCACTAGGACTAAACAGCAGAATTCATTGCCAGGACTTTTTTAAAAAATTAAAAATATTAACTCTTCCTTCCTTATTTATATTTGAATCCGTGTGCCTGATACGTAAGCATGTATCAGCTTCTCAAGAAAAGCCATCTCACACTTATCTACTCAGGAACGCGGAGCAAGGTCTTTATCTACCTACCCCACGCTCAGAGTTAGTTAAAAGTTCAATATTACACAACTCGAAAAAAATGCACAATCACCTGCCATTTGAAATCAAATCCATAGCATCATTTTCTTCATTTCGCAAAGCATTGAAATCTTATTTACTAGACAAGGCTTCCTACGCCGTAAATGACTTATATTTTGATGATCGAATTTGACCTTGTAAACATTGGTCTAATATTTGCTATTACGATATTTACTATAAATATAGTAAATATTTTTGAATCTTATTTTTATTTTTTTTATTCTTTGAAATTGTAAACATTCATAAATGTTTATTTTAAACAATAAGACTGACAATGTAACTTGTATACTTGTTTTGTATTCTCTTTCGGTTTTTTACTTTACCTTTGTCTACAAATTTTACAATTTGTAGACAATAAAGGCATTAAAAAAAACAATGGAGCCAATTACAGAAAGCTTATCTAAATATGTAACGGAGGCTACACCATGATTGGGAATAGCTGAATAAGCTGAACATGATGATGAAATAAAATACAAAAAGTGCGAAGATGAGTGTATGCAAGACAATATTCAAACCGACGCCGACGTTGATTTTTGGCTGTGAAAGTAAAAGATTGAAGAGTAAGCTCCGATGAAGTGAGAGTAGTTTCGATTCTGAGGGTATATAGAATTGAGCAATGTCAACTTCGGTGGTATGGATATTTAGTTAGCATAAACAATATAATATACACATGAGGCTACTGAGTGAGACAGTAGCAACGTATCATAGCCAGCTACCGGATCGTCGCTCGTTGGCAGCGCTGGGCGCTCTTTCTCGACGCAACGACGAGATTATTCCCAGAAAGGAGGGGAATAAAAATTTTATTCGAATAGTTTATTCGCGACCGGAGACGGATAGAAATTGTTTGGAATCGAGCAGGTCGAGATTTTTATCACTCGCGCCGATGACAGAAATGCGGTTTTATGAGCGTTTAATGATGCGCGCCCGGCACCGGCCAATAAAATCGGTTCATTGCGGTATTTACGACGGCCGCGGACTCGAACCACGGTCCTTTTTTAATTCATTAGTCAGGGATTTCGCTCAATTTCCTCAAGGCGATCCCCGTGCCGCGCTTTTAATTAGTTCAACCGCGGTGTACCTTTTTTTTTTCGTTTACTTTCACTAATTCTCCCTGCCGCGAAAATTAGCCGTATATTTTTAAACAATAGACGCTTTTTTTCTTTCAATTACTTATTGTCATTCGAAAGGATATCCTTTGTTTTTTTCTCTTCTCCGAGTCGTTGATTAAACAGATTTAAATAAAACATATTTAAA